CACGGACTTACCGGTTACCGCTGTAAACAAAGCAGAGTTGCGCTTTATACGGAGGAGAAGAAAATGCCATTGCCATCGAAACTTTTCTCAAGACAGTTCCCTTCAGTGATACATTAATATAACCCCATAAATGTAATGCATTTTTGTACTTATTTTACTTTTTTTTTTTGGGATCTACTGGGACAGTGATAAAGATCTACCAGTCGATCTATCGCGATCGACGGGTTGGCGACCACTGCTCTAAAAGGAGGTTTTGTCAGATTTAGGTCATATTGGAAGATGTTTTGTCCTAAAAAGCTACTGTACAGTCAGAGACAACAATCACTTTCAGTTGCATATGCAGATTATTATATCTATATCTAAATACATCATTTGTGCAATTGCATTGTCAGTAAATAATTAAAAAGACAGAAAATATGCATTAAAAACCTTTCAGAGATTCTGGACTACATCAGAGGAGATTTTTTTAGACGGCAAATTTAATTTGTCTCAAATGATAATAAGGCTGTAAAGGGCAAATAAATTACAAAGCCTTCAATATGTCATATTGTGTCACTATTACTTATATCCTTATTTCAATATTAGCTACATTATTGAAAATATGTATTTCCACAAATTTCTAGTACATACATATGAAACAACATGTGTTTCAGAAATTAAACGCGAGTTAAGTTTGGGGTCTGTAAGATCTTCATTTTGTTTTTTTGTTAATTAATACTTAATTTTTTATTTACCAAGAACACATTAAATTGATCAAAAATGACATTTTTAAGGTTACAAAAGATTTCTATTTCAAATAAATGCTGTTCTTTTGAACTATCTATTCATTAAAGAATCCTGACAAAAACTTTCCACAAAAATATTAAGCAGCACAACTGTTTTCAACATTGATGATAATAATAAATGTTTCTTGAGCAGCAAATCAGCATATTAGAATGATTTCTGAAGGATCATGTGACACTGAGACTGGAGTAATGATGCTGAAAATTCAGCTTTGCATCACAGAAATAAATTACATTTTACAATATATTCAAATAGAAAGCAGCTACTTTAAATGGTAATATTTCACAGTTTTACAGTTTTACTGTATTTCTAATCAAATAAATGCAGCCTTGATGAGCACAAGACAATAAAACATCTTATAGACCCCAAACTTTTGAACAGCAGTTTAAGACATTTCACAACCCTGTTCTTTGCAATTCCTTTTCTATGAAATTTGTGCCGCTGGAGTCAGGTGTCCGTGATTTACGATATTCTAATCTGTTCTACCAAACGGCCAGAGACTGATCCTAGATCAGTGATGGAGTCAGTAATGGGGTTAAATGTGTCAGGAGATGTGTCTTGTTCAACTCAGATTGAGTTTCTATGAGAGAATGAGAGGTATTTTGAACAGAAAAGGATGCCAGGCCCGTCATGAATGAGTGTGTTACTAACATTCTTGGGTTCGATGGACTCGGCCACTTGTGTTATTCCATCCAGGCATTTCCCAATGATGGGCAGAATCTGTCGGTCGACCTCCGCAAATGTCTTCAGCGACTCGCCCATTCGCTCTATCCTCTTCTCCTCCATTGCCTGGATCTTCTGCTCTCAAAACACACACACACACACACACACACACACACACACACACACACACACACACACACAGAGTTAGTGTGTGTATTTTTGAGTAGATCTGTGAGATCAGGAATTGTTCCATGCAAATTGTGTTTTGGGGTGTGTTTATGCTGTTACTTCCATTTGCATTATCCACAATAGTAAATTCAGAAATAATGCAACTGGTGCATACAAATAAACAACAATATTATTAGCTAATTCATTCTCAGTGGATGTTTCTGTGTGTGTGTGTGTGTGTGTGTGTGTGTGTGCGTGCATGTGTGTGTGTGTGCACCTGGAAGATATTAGGGATGATGGTGTAATAATGTTCATTCTGTTCCTGGTTGAACTTCTGCAGGCATGAGGAATATTCATTCTTGCTGTCAGAAGCCATCTGGTGTCTCATCTGAGCCTGCTGCCGTGCCTAAAAGAGAGAGAATGAAATATTACTGATTATGCAATGTTATTAAAAGTAATTTGATTAATTATACCCCTAAAAGCCACACAGACTTAAACATATGCTAAAAAAGAGCCTACAAAAAGAGCCTATCTTCCAACGTCTTTGCGAGAACATTTACATTCATATTACTACATTTGCATGGTTTTCTAAAGTCATAAGCAATTCAGATTTGCTGATGTTTAATATACAGTTATGCGTAATGAGAATTTTAACCAATGAGATTTCATTGTGGGCGGGGCTACCTGATGTGATGATGCAGAAATCAATAAAAAGACAAAAACTCTCATTTCAATGGAAGAGATGCTGTTATCGCTGTGACTAGGGAATGTAGTGCACTCAAAATAACACATTTTTGTTTTCAGACTCAATGACTTCCCCTAAACACAATCACAAACCTCAAAGTCCACTTGCACTGACTCTATACTATTATACTATTATTATAATATTATTATCTATACTATTATACTGTTACTATTATACTACATACTATTATACTATATTCTGACTCGGTATAGAAACACATTTAGCCTAATTCTTACAGATGTGTTTATAACTAATACACACTTCTGTGTGAAACGGCAGATATGACATACATGTGAAAAGCTAAAATAAAATCTACAAGACATAAACATCCTACACAACACTCAAGAGCTCTTGTGGGTTGAAGAAATATTCAAATGCATGCTGCTGAAGTAAACGCAATTCTAAAGTATACTAATGCATTTTAATGCGCATCATTTAAGTGAGAGAACGATACAGAGAAAGCAGCGTCATGTCAACCACATCCTGATCCGATTCCAGGAAATCACACTGGTTAACCTGAGGTTCAGTGTTGCCATGGAAACACTCAAACTTCACCAGCAGCTCAGCAGCAGCAGGCTTGTGCATGAGCCACAGGAAGTTCAGAAAAAATATCCCCTAAAATTACATTTGCACTCACTGCTTGTGCATTTACATTTTTTCTTAAATATAAGAATATTTAAATGTATTGCATTCAAATACATACTATTTATATTCAAATACACATATATATATATATATGATATAAAAAAAACTTCATATATTTGTTTTTAGTTTTTATATATTCATACAAAATGAAAAAAATATACAAAATATAAATAAATACAATAATGTATGGTTTTTATATGATTTTTATTTTTATATTAAAATGTACATTTTTATATTATATATTTTAAATATCATATAAATATTTGAATGCACTATTCTTACATTTAAATATTCTTATATTTGAGAGAAAAAAGTAATGCACAAGCAATGAGTGATATGACATTTTCATTTTCTTTAAATAATCTAATTATAAATAATGTAAATAAACTGATAATAATACAAATATAAATAAATTACATATAAATGTATATAAATAAACAAAATGAATACTATTTATTAATAATCTAATTTTAAATATACATATATTTAATTTTTTTAATCAAATATACGTTAATTATAATTTATTATTTTATTTTATAAATTATAAAAGAATAGTGAATATACAGAATATTTTATTATATGATGTATTATTAAATATTTAAATAAAAATAAATATTATTTATTAATATTACACACACATATATAATTGAAAATAAAAATAATAAAAAAATAATAATAATAAAATAGAGTACAATTACATATAAATGAAAGGTGAACATACAGCATAGTTTTTTTATTTTGTTTTGTTTTTTTATTTTATATTTTTTATTTTATTTTATATTTTATTTTGCACTATTTGGACAGACCACCAGATGCTGATGATTCCTAAACACACACAAACACACACCTCCTAAATAAACTGTGATATGGTAAGCGACATTTATATATGGGCCAGCAGAACAGGACGCTTTGAGATTTACATGTTTAAATATTCATGCCTGGAGCGATGTGACTGGAGGAGCAGCAGCGCAGACAAACTTTAATCAAGCCTGTGACTGGGTGGCCGGTGTGTCGTGTGGGCGTGGCCATGGCTGGACAGGAAGCAACAGTGTCCTGACACACAGACACACACACGCACACACAGACCTGCCGCCGTGCACCTACCTTTAAGTAACATCGCTTCAAGGCATGATTTAAAAAAAAACACACATAGACATTAGTTAGCTTTGGCTGCTAATGAGTTAGTACTTAAATCTACACTGTAACATGACAGTGATATCGACACAAACCGCTCGACAACACATCAAACCAACGTGTTAAAACCACACAATTAATTATATCTATCATATAGTAACTTGCAAACTGCCATGTTGTTGTCAAACGACCTCATTATGTTGCATGTTTAATTCAGTAACTGACGTCTAATCATCATCTCAGAAGTAAATATGGTTATTTAGCATTTTTAAATCAATATTGTGCAAACTTTTGGCAGTCTGAACTGTGGTAAATCAAAAAATGAATCATGAAAGAGATCAAAAGTGCGGTTTATGTTACTTTCGGTCTATGTGTCTCAGTGTAAATGGAAGAGGAAGTCAAGACGCATTGCATTGTGGGATGCTCTGGTTATATGCATAAGAGTCCATTCAAGTATCCCATGCATTCACAATTCAAATATTGTACATAGTATACATACTGTAAACTGCAGAAATAGTATGCTATTCTGAATGTAGTCACTCACTAATTGAGCCGATGCAGCTGTTGTACCTTTACTGACCCTGAAACATTTACATTAACAGAAAAGATCTGCAAGATTAGCTTTGGCTTTCCACTGAATTTTTTGGACCCTCACGCATGCTACCTGAAAGATCTCTTGACTTTTTCACTAAATGACAAAAAAATGCTCTCTGGACTGCTGGAAGCAAGAGCTCTTTTCCACATCTGAATACTTTGGAAATTTCTCTTTGTGTGACTCAAGCGATCACAGAGACATACGCTCACCAGCACACACTCTGGAACAAAAAAAGACTGAAAATGAGTAGAGAACGTAGGCGATGTTGCCTGTCCTGTCCACACACACACACACACACACACACACACGGTCGAGTTTCCACACAGCGCCACGGCAGCAGTGTGAGACAGTGAGGGACGTGTTAAGATGAAGTGAAGGGAAAAACAGACACATGTGAATCACTCGGGCTGTATCAGTTTATCACTTTTTCATTTTATATAAACTAAACTGAAACTAAATAAAACGAAGTGAGATGATGATAGATAAAAGGCAGATAGATGCCTATAGATAGATAGATAGATAGAAAGAAAACAGAGAGAGATAGATAGATAGACAGATAGATAGAAAACAGAGATAGATAGATAGATAGATATATATATAGATAGATAGATAGATAGATAGATAAATAGATAGATAGATAGATAGATAGATGACAGATAGATAGATAGACAGATAGATAGATAGATAGATAGATAGATAGAAAACAGAGATCGATAGAAAACAGAGATAGATAGACAGACAGACAGACAGATAGATAGATAGATAGATAGATAGATAGATAGATAGATAGATAGATAGAAAACAGAGATCGATAGAAAACAGAGATAGATAGACAGACAGACAGACAGATAGATAGATA